TAACGAGGTAAGAGGAACAACGTCTCATTTTCTTAAAAGGCTTGAAGAGATACTCGTATGGCCAGTCTTGAATATATAATTCTGATATTGTATTTGCTGTATATTGAGATGGGAAATCTTTAATTAGGGCCTAGGGACAGAGCAGACAGTAGATTTACAAATACAATGTAGATGTCATTGTTTCACAGGCTCCAGGTACTATCGACAACCATGGATTTTGCCATTTCCTTATTCTTCTGTGCGCTCACATGGTCATCAGTTCCAGAAGTAACGGTAAGCATCTATTCTTTCCTTTGCTCATTGCCAGCACACGAGACATTTTGTGTAGGTTCATGTTTCATTCTTGTAAATTGATTACATTGCTTCATTGGTTTTTACAGAGTGATGCAGGAGACATAGTGTCCATTTATAGTGCTGATGGTATGTAGCGGGACGATTCTACACTTTGAAATTTGACCAATTGTTCTTGGTGTGCACAACGAAGCTCTTTTGAACATATTTCACTAAGCTTTCCGGTGAATAGTCGAAGATGTATCTTTTGCCTGTGGCATACATAGTTATTAGCATAATCAAAGACGTGTACCAAGTCCTTGCTTGTACTAACACTGTGCAGGTATTGTAGCGTTCCTGGTAATGTTCAGCCTGTTGTTGCTCGGTTCTCTTCAGCAATCCCCATTCGCCTACGTGGAGGCACCACCACCTCCGGTCGTGTGGAGGTCTACTACAACGACCAATGGGGAACCATCTGTGACGACGGATTCGACATTGACGACGCCAAGGTCATCTGCCGTCAGCTTGGATTCACCAACGTCACAGGCGCCTACACACAGGCACACTTTGGCGAAGGTGTCGACCCGATTTGGCTGAGCAATCTCGCCTGCAACGGCAACGAGGAGTCCCTAAAGGACTGCCAACACTCCGGCTGGGGCCCGATCGCCAACTGCAAACATGAGGAGGACGCCGGTGTGGAGTGCTCTGGTAAGACCAACCCATTGTTTCATAGGCATTGTCACTAGTCTGTCAGTGTTTTTAACATGCCCATTTCTTACCATGGTTGAACTATGACTTGATAATGCAAATCATTTATGTATAAAACGTCTAGATGGGCACATGTTTTGCTAATTGATGACGTTCGTTGTCGTGTCACAGGAACACCATCGGCAGCTGAGCTGTTCCAGATGCTAAGCGAGCAGACCAACGCTCATATGCAACAAGCTGCGGTACTTGACGCACAGCAAACGACAATCACGACCATTCAGCAAGAACTGGGTAGGATGTGATACACCTCTTATTATGGTCATTAGAATAGTAGAAATGTAGACCTTGCCTGCACCTCATTGGTTACTCTGCTCTAGGTGGATAAATTCCTATCGATGTTTTCTCCTAAACTGGCATTTTTATTTCTCTACAGACCAACTGGCTGCTGACGTGCCGACCCTGGTGCAGACCAGCGCTCTCCAGAACGGCGAGATCGGCGAGCTTCAGCAGCTCATGGGTACCCTGGACTACAAGGTGGACGAACTCAACAACATGGCAGGTACGTTTCATCTGCAAACCTATACCATGACTAATGACTGTATGGAGTAGCAGCTTTGGTCCTATTTGTCTTTTGTCTGTCCATGTCCAAAAGTACAATACGTCCAAGAGTAATATACAATACAGGTTTGCGGAAAAGATTTTCTAATTTAAAATTCGCATTAAATTCTCGCGAAAATTCCGGTAACGGAGAGGGGAACTCGAAATGTCACCCTCCATGTCCGCTGTTGTTCTGAGAGTGAAAAGTGATCTGCGAGCACATAGAATTTACGAACTCTGATTGGTCAGTTTGTCGGGGCTCGTAGGCTCGCAGCCCCTCATGCGTTCCAAATAAGGAATTACCCGCGCTTCTACGAAATACTGTATGAGCCTAGCGGTCGGGTCGGCAGTCTCATCTGGCATAAATTTGTATTTCTAATTTCAATAGGATTTTTTTTCATGTCTTTCTGTCAGTGTTCCCTATTCGTCTGATGGGTGGAAACGCGTCACACGGACGAGTGGAAGTGTGGCACGACGGACAATGGGGGAGCATCTGCGACGACAACTGGGATATCAACGACGCGAAGGTGGTCTGCAGACAGCTAGGCTACGAGGATGCCATCACCGCCTACAGTCACGCCGAGTACGGGGAGGGGACAGGACCGATCCTCATGGACAGCGTCGCCTGTACCGGCCCGGAGCCGCAACTGGCCGCGTGCGCACACGAGGGATGGGCGGTGCACGACTGCAAGCATGAGGAAGACGCCGGGGTTGGGTGTCTCTATCAAGGTAACCTGTGATGATTTTGCATCAGCTTTCGGTTAACCAATTGTTGACGTCATACGTTTCCGAAACGATTGGACATTCGAACATGAAGAAGGATTTATCTCATACCTGGGCCACGATAACGTTCGATACAGGTGTTCGATATATACTATTTTGTTATCATACGGGCTTCCAACTATTCCATAGAATGATTCGAACGTGTTTCGCATGCACCAAGCGCCGCTTTCGAAACTTCGCACACCGAATTTGATGGGATGTTGGAATTGACGCCGTTACACTTTTTGTTTTTAATAGATACACCAAATTTTGGCACTTTCCGCATTGAAATGTCTGTTTTCTCGGATTGGTGTGACATAGATAAAATACAACACGGTGTATTCCGATCCGCATCACCCTCGGTCCCAACCCTACGGCAGATCGGTCAAAATATCGGTCGACGTTTCTTTATGGTATTGAAATACTTTTCGTCTACCAATTAAGCATTCAAATATGTTTTAAAGTCTGCCACTAGGCATGACACTCTTTCTGAAACACGAACCATATATCTTCTAATTGTCCTTCATTTTAGTTTTTACATGTTGTGTCGGAAAATATATCGTCTGCAACAGGCAAAATTCTGATGCAACGATAATACTGACCAATCCAACGAAAAACATGAAACATCCAGGTTTTGCGCAGGCGCAGTACATTCTGCCGACGTAGATGAAACAGTGTGTTCGCAGAATTCCCGTGGAGGACCGATCTAAGAGTCAATGAAAAATTGCATGATGTGCATATTTTATTAGGTTATACCAAAAGTACCTAGTTTTCATTCTATATCTAAAATTGTCAATATTTTCTGCAGATGAGCAGGGCACCTGGGCTGCATTCTCAGCTGGCTGGACAGCGGGTAACACCAAACCGAGCGGTGCTTACATCATCCCTTTCAACAGCGTCTACACCAACATCGGAGGTCACTACTCCTCCTCAAACGGCAGGTTCACAGCGCCCATTAGCGGCCACTACTTCTTTGTGGTTAACGCCCACTCTCAATACCTCGGTAGCTACGATGTCTATCTCGATTTTTTGATAAACAATAGTCCTTACAAGTCTAACTGGATTTATGACATCGACAACCACGATCACGTTGATACATCTAGTAACAGCATCATTATCCACCTGAACAAAAACGACTATGTTTCCATCAGGATTCACAGCAGTAGTTATGCCCTGACCGGGTACGAGAAAACCACGTTCTCTGGCTTCTTGATTCAGGCAGATTAGCATAATATATGACGTAACATATGTGTGAAACAGTATGTGTATGGCAGTCTGAAATTCACATCACAGCAAACACCACCAGATAAGTATTTCAAATGAATGTTTTAATATGTTCATTGTATCGCGCATATTGTTCTAATGATAACCGGACATATCCCTGACCATCCTGTTTTGTGTATCATCCACGGCATCAAGAATAAATCAGTTATAACTTGCGATGAGACTGTAATTAATGAAAATGTCATGCAATATCACTCTTTCACAGGGATTTGTGCTTTCAGGCCATTTTGGTTCAAATAAAGAAGGTGGACGGAATTCTTGAGTCATGATCATTTCCTATCAAAAGGTACAAATAAGTGCAAGTAGCCTAATATAATAAAAATTTAATATTAGAGTCATGTGAACAATGTACCAAAGCATAACAAGAACCATATGTTATACTTAAATATTCGGCAAGTGGCAGAAATACCTGATGACGGTTTATTGAACGTCGCAAGGGGGCGCTGTACATTCAAGTTAATGGAATTTGGTATCTCATCGAAAGCCTTACCTTAGTCACCGTCGGCTATGGCGCTCCCTCACCACTTCATGTACATAAAGTGTCAATATTATTAGTAGGTAATTGATCAGTCATTGACGGTACGGTTTTGACATGTACACAGTTCCAAACACAGGCTAAAACACCATAACCCTGAGTGATAGATATATACCCAGGACTTGGAGCTTTTCTGTTAGTCGTACACTAACTGTAACTGTTAGTTACTATTGATATTTTCTCTTTTACATATAACATTGAGAAGGGAGGGATCATATTGATAGTCCAGTGGCCAACATTACCGGTCACGGCGTGTCCACAGCTCCTAACACACAGGTCATAACATCGTAATTATCTTACACACAGTGCAATATGAAGAAAGGTACTACATGTAACGTTATATTGATATTTGGGTGGCCCATAGTGTTTACAGTTCCAAACACACAGGCCAATACACCGTAACTCTAAGTGATAAATATTTAGCTTTTAGCTGTTTTAGGCAAATGACATTGTAGCACAATAGTAGTGAGTCATTCTTTTTATCTTCCACACATTACAATATGAAGAAAGGTACCACATTGATGCATTCATAGCTGGATGGTCAGCTCTTGTCGTGTCCCGGGACAGTTCCAAACACATGCCAAAACACGGTAACCCTGGGTGATAAATATTGACCTGTGCGCTGTCATGCCGGACCGTGCCACTGTACGGCCAGTTACAGTAAACATGGGACACAACAGCGACTGGACACCACACCCAGACTGACCACACCCGACATGGTCGCATGGGGGAAAAATTATCGTTAGTAGCGTAAAAAAGCTAAGAGAAGAAATAGAGCAAAAATAACTGGCTAATGAAATTGCACGGTCATTACACCCCCCCCCCTACTAGCCTCTACCAGGCTCCGCGGATCGCTGGAAAAATAGTAGAAATTGGCCGTAATAAAGGGATAGTATACCAGAGAAGATCCAGCCGGCCATAGAAGCTCCAATTTGCGACCCACGGACCCGCAAATAGGCTACCCCCCTACCTCACTCACTACATGTAGGCAAAAGATCAGTTATTTTCTGCAATGCATTTGCAGTACTTGTAGATACGACAGTATTATGTATACATGCATGCCCTATTGGACAAAGTACAGGAATAGAAATGAGCCATTAATAGTAATGTACATATATTTACAGGACGTCTACTAATCTAAAACATCATCATCATCATCGGTCAGGGTTATACCTAAGATAATCTACTCTAATACATAGGTTCGGCTTCTCGTCTTATGTTGAAGTATATATGTTAGTATATATGGGTTGCAGTATATAACGTTATATTCTATAATGTGTGGAGGCAAAAAAGTGTCTAGCCATACATGGAATACGGGCCATGTGGTTTTGTCATGAGCTTAATTATAAGGGCAAGTTTGAGTGAGAAACATACATGTACATCCGACGAGGAATTCCCATGACGCATGAGTTGGACAGGAATCCCGGTGACCAAACAACCTGTTTCCGCCAAGTTTAAACATTCCTTCATGAGTTATACCGAAATATCTGAACTTCTTCGTCTGGTAAAGCTATAACTTGGGAATATTTACGACGAAAACAAACCAGCGATTTGTATTCCTCAAACGGCTTTCCTACGCCTTTTTGTGACAGAACAAATTTGGCGCGAAAACAGCTGCTTTACGGGGTCATTGAACTTTCGGTAGGAGGATTTGTATAAGTCAGACAACTTTAACTTCTTTCTGTCAGAGAAAAAATTTGGCGCGAAAAAAAAGCTGCTTTACGGGGTCATTGAACTTTCAGTGACGGAGGATTTGTTTCAGTCAGACGATTTTTACTTCTTTCTGTCAGAGAACAAATTTGGCGCGAAAATAGCTGCTTTACGGGGTCATTGAACTTTCAGTGGCGGAGGATTTGTACGAGTCAGACGATCGATTTTTATTTGTTTCTATCAAAGGACAAATTTGCCGCGAAAACAGCTATTGTACGGGTTCAATGAACTTTTAGTAGCGAGTTATTAGTATTCGCCAGACGACGTTTTACTTTTTCTGTCAGAGAACAAGTTTGGCGCGAAAATAGAGCTGTTGTGCGAGGTCATTGAACTTTGATGTGTTTTGTGGGACTTCTTTTCTGATCATCAAGCACTCGTAAAACAACTTCGAACACGACAAACTTTTTAAGTGTTAGATAAACTTTTGGTAGAGAGATCTTAAATTGTTCAGTCCACCTTCCAGACATAAACTGAACGTAATTTGACAAAATTCCTTATCCCGGCGGAAAAGGTCTGTTATCTATTTTCTCCTTCACTAAGCTGTCTACTCTACTTAAAACACTTTCTCCTGTCGACAGCACCACTTGTCAATGTAACACTTGTTCCCTAAAGACTTCCTATGAAAACGAAAGGCATATCCGCCAAGGAACTCCTACTTTCCTGTTGACTAACCCTGATAACAGACAGCTACACCTCCCGTCGCGACTTGTGCCTCCTGGGCCCCGACCGACACGAGCGGACACTTAGCCTGAAAATCTAGACTCCTAACCGCTTGCAACTTTTGCCAATTCACGGAGATATATTCGCAAGAAGCGAGGAAGTTTTTTGCTTCTTGTTAGAGAGTTGGTGATAATCAAGGTTCTCCACTCATATGAGGCTATTGATATATCTCATTCATATAGTTTTACATGCTTTTAGTCGTCTATCAACTCAAGCCTAAAGTTCAAAACGTCGTGTAGACCCCACATGTATGGAGTGTGTGAGTACCATAAGTTACTGTGGTTAGCCACAGGCAGCGTGGACTGAAATTGACACAATTCACGGCGCGTTGAAAGGGTTTGAGTCAGACGTTAGGAGGCTAGAATGATTATTAGACACAGATGTGTACGATAGTCCAGGTTGAGACCTTGTAAATCGTATATATACGTGCCTTAATTGTCAAAATAACTCTCAGTCTGGAAGATTTAATTTATCATGTTAATTCATTTTGTGTTTATGGGTGCGCCAGCCACTTTCATTTTACGTTCTTTACACATTTTGTATTTGTTATTTCAACCTGTGTTTTGTATGTTTTATTTCTTGAGCAAAAGATCTTAGAACTTAATTTGTGTTTGCTACCTAATAACCTCATAAATCTATGTGAATAGAATAAAATAACTTGGACAAGCAATTATGAACTAGATTCGGAATAGAAAGTTTCCTCAGCTCACAAATCCCGCTTTTACTTCTCTGTCTTTAGTTTTTCATCTTTTTATACACGAGCCTATATCCTTATCAATGTCTCAACGGTTTCCGCTTTAATATTTTTTTGAAACCGTTGTGCAGCGATAACGATTTCAAGAAAATGAGCGGAAACCGTTGATTAAGAGGCGTGTGTACGGGGAGGTCTCGTGCTATCTGGTGACAAAACCACAGGTTCAGAGGCCAGGACTACAGAGCGTTCACAGCTGTTAGGAACAGTCAAGGTCACAACACTCCCTTCAGCTCCCCCCCAGCCGCGAAAACCGCACAGATTCCTAACGTATGAAAATCTGAGACAAAACGTGCCGCTATGGTCGTAACTTTTATCGAGTGGTGGGGTCGTGTGGCGTGCTCGACTCAGAATCAAGAGGTCCCGGGTTCGAGTCCTGACATGCCATCGATCTTGTGTCCTTGGGAAAGGCACTTTACACGACTTTCCTCACTTCGCTTAGGTGAACATGAGTATTGTATTTTCCCCTGTGTTGGTGGCGACATTTATATAAGGTGAAAAAACTTGAGTGTGCCGTCACCACGTCTTGTCATTAGATGTTGGAATATGAAAAAACAAACTTTCATCGAGTGCTTGGTCAGCTGTCAGAAAAAATTCAACACACGATCTTTCCTCCTAATATCTGCTTGGAGATCAGACTGTCCCACTGTTGCCTCTGTGAGTTAACGTTGCCATAGAAACAACATTGGCTCAGATCCAAACGTTACTCTCTCCAGGCATAAGCTGCACTTGACCTGTAAACGCAACAAGTTAGAATGTTGAAACAAGAAGATCTACATCGCCTTACCCAACCCGTCTCAACATTTGTAGCCTGGTATCCAGTCTTACGTGATTGGAGGTGTTGGGGTGTTCAGGCAGGCTGTGTCTTCGGTGGCTCTAATAGCTTCCCCCGCCCAGTACAACAGGCCGTCCCGGTAGGAGTGTTACGCTAATAAGAGACAGTATGCTTGATCGTAACGTGCCGGGGAGGGCTAATCAATCTCTCGTGAAATACACACCGGGAAACCTATGTGAGGCGGGCGGGACAGAGCTCTTGCGACCCCGACCACGAATCAGCCTGGATACCAGGCTACAACATTTGTAAAAGTACAATCATATTTGTTTTACGAATAAACATGTAGTATTTTGTGGATTCCACTACTATCTGAGAGTCTTTTACCGAACGTGGATAAATCATACATGTACAATGTAGGAAGCGTAGAGGCAAATTGAATTGGTTCCAAGATAAAAGACACATTTATACAAGACAACTGTCATCTAATGATTCATTCGCTACATTTGATACTTTTATACCTCCAGGGTAGGATGGGGGGGGGGGGTATATACTACATTAAACGTGCAGAAATGTGCCTGTTACGATCATCACACATGTTAAGCGTAGGCGTAAGGCCGTGTTCTGAGAAGTGTAGTTATGAAGAACGGGTGAGGAAGAATAGCTGGGCGTGTGCGGAATGGAATCCTAAAATCCCGAGTGAAAGATACATGTACGCAGGATACGGTTGTTTCAAACAAAGTTTCGTGATGACAAGTC